GCATTAATTCAAACTACACTGTTATAAATTTGTTTATTGTAATCCCCACAGTAACTGCTAAGAAAATAATTTGAGAATATATAGAAAAAGAAATAAGAAGGGAATCAAAATGGCACATTAGAAATAAGCAATTAAACAGAAAAGAAGGCAGTAATACAGGATTGAGGGATAAAAAAGACTTAAGACATATAGATGGCAAATAGCAAAATGGCAAAAGTCCTTCCTTGTCAGTAATCACTTTAAATGTAAATGGAGTAAATTCTCCAACTAAAAGGCAAAGACTGGCAGAATGGATTTTTAAAATTATGATCCATGTAAATGCTGTCTATAAGGGAATTCACTTTAGATCCAAAGGCACAAATAGGCTGAAAGTGAAACAAGGGGAAGAGATATTCCATGCAACTAGTAATCAAAAGAATGCTGGCGCGGCTGTATTACTATCAGATAAAATAGATTTTAGGTCAAAATTATTATGAAACACAAAGAAAGACTGTATATTGATAAAAGGGTCAATTCATCAAGAAGGTATAACAATTATGAAACTGTACACATCTAACAGGAGGGTTAAATTAAGTAAGGCAAAGATCGACTGAATTGGAGGGAGAAATGGTTCTACTGTAACAGTTGGAGATTCAACATTCTACTTTCAATAATGAATAGAACAGCTAGACAGACGATAATAAAGAAGCAGAGAACTTGAACAATACTATAAACCAAGTATACTTAACAGAAATATGCAGAATGCTCCACTCAGCAGCAGCAGCAGAACATACATTCTCCCATGCACATGGCACATTCTCCAGGACAGCTGACGTGTCAGGCCATAAATCATATCTTAAAACATGTTTTTAAAGATTGACATTATATGAAATAACTTCTCTGACCACAGTGAAATAACTAGAGACAAATAACAGAAGCAAAACTAGAAAATTCATACATAAATGAAAGCTAAATAATATACTCTTAAGCAAGCAATATGCCAAAGAAGAAATCATAAGGCTAATTAGAAAATGCTGAGACAAATGAAAACAAGAACACAACAAACCAAAACTTTCAGGGTGTAGCAAAAGCAGGGCACAGAAAGGAATGTACAGCTATAAATACCTATATAGAAGAGATGTAAAGTCGAGAACCTAACAGTACACCTTAAGAAGCTAGAGAAACAAAAATAAACACACAGCTAGCAGAAGGAAGGAAATAGTAAAGATTAGAGTGGAAATAAATAAAATAAGCAATAACAAAACAATAAAAAATCAACAAAAAACAAAAGTGGATCCTTTGAAGAGGGTCCACAAAATTGACAAACCCAGTTAGATTAAGAAAAAAAGAAAGGCAACTCAAAATGCTGAAATAAAAGTCAAAGTGGTACATTACTAGCAAACTACCTGACAGAAACTAAAAGGATTATGACAGTATGAAGAACGATTGTATAACCTAGATGAAATGGACGAGTTCCTAGAAACAAACTACCAAAATTGACTCAAGATTTTTAAAAAATCTGAACAGACTTACAATAAAGAGATTGACCCAGTAATAAAACTCCTAACAAAAAATCCCGGAGTCCGACTGCTTCACTGATGAATTCTACCAAATACAGAGAATTATTAAAATCAATTCTTCCCAAACTCTTCCAAAACACAAGAGGAAGAAACACTTTTTCTATGAGGCTAGTATTACTCTGATACCAAAGCCACACAAAGATACTATATGAATAGGAACCTATATGCCAATATATCCCTTACGAATACATATGCAAAAATCTTCAAGAAAAGACTAGCAAACTGAATCCAGAAATATACTAGGAAGATTATACACCATGAACAAGTGGGATTTATCACAGTAATGGAAGAGGGGTTCAACACAGAATCTCAATCAACACAATATACCATCTTAACAGAACCAAGGGACAAAACTGTATGATCATCTCAAATTGGTGCAGAAAAGCATTTGACAAAATCTGACATCCTTTCATGATTCAAAAATTCAACAAACTAGAATTAAAAGGGAGCCTCTTTAGCATAACAAATGGCATTTATAAAAACTTACAGTTAATATCATATTCAACAGTGAAAGATTGAAAGCTTTTTCCCTAAAATTGCTTACGGGAACCTAAGCAAGGATGCCACTTTTGCCACTTCTATTCAGCACTGTCCTGGAAGCACCAGCCAGAGCAATTAAGAAAGAAAAAGGCTGGGAGCAGTGGCTCATCCCTGTAATCCCAGCACTCTGGGAGACTGAGGCAGGTGGACCACCTGAGGTCAGGAGTTTGAGACCAGCTTGGCCAACATGGTGAAACCCCATCTCTACAAGAAATACAAAAAAAATTAGCTGGGTGTGGTGGTGCGCACCTGTAGTCCCAGCTACTTGGGAGGCTGAGCCATGAGAATTGCTTGAACTCAGGTGGCAGAGGTTGCAGTGAGCCAAGACCACGACTCTGCACCCCAGCCTGGATTTTGACAGAGCAAAATTCTGTCAAAAAGAAGAAAAAGAAGAAAAAGAAAAAGGAAAAGGAAGGAAGGAAGAAGAAAGAAAGGATGGATGGATCTAAATTGTAAAAGAAGTAAAACCATCTCTACTCATAGATAACATGACCGTAAATACAGGAAATCCTAAAAATCCACAAAGAGCAAACTATTCGAGCCAATAAAGGATTAGCGCTTACAATTGTAGGGTACGAGGTCAACACTAAGAAAAATCAATTGTTTATCCACTAGAAATGAGCAATCTCAAAGGAAATTAAGAAAACAATTCACAAAACTTATCACAAAGCTAAGGTAATCAAAACAATGTGGTACTGGTGTAAGGACAGACATACAGACCAGTGGAACAGAACTGGGAGTCGCAGAAAGAATCCATACGTTTACGGTATGGATTTAACTCCAGACACTTATACATATATGTACATACATATACCATGTATGAAGAGAAGATACTTCATATAATTTCCATGGACTTTTGACACGAATACCAAGATAATTCAATGAAGGAAGAATAGTCTTTTCAATGGTGTTGAAAAAACTGAGTATCTACAAAAAAGAATGAAGCTGGGCCTTTGCCTCACACCACATATAAAAACTAAGTCAAAATGGATCAAAGGCCTAAGAGTTACAAGTTTAACTCTGAAGAAAACGTATGGGTAAAATCTTCATGACCTTGGCTTCTTAGGCCTCCCAAGGTGCTAGGATTACAGGCCTGAGCCACTGCACCCAGTCCATTTATGTTTTATTATTTATTCACTCTGTTTCCCAGGCTGAATGAAGTACACCGGCATGATCTCGGCTCACTGCAACCTTCACCTTCCAGGTTCAAGCAATTCTCCTGCCTCAGCATTCAAGTAGCTGAGATTACAGGCACCTGCCACCAACGCCCAGCTAATTTTTTTTTTTTTTTTTTTTTTTTTGTATTTTTAGTAGAGACAGGGTTTCACCATGTTGGCCAGGCCGGTCTTGAACTCCTGACCTCAGCTGATCTACCCATCTCAGCTTCCCAAAGAGCTGGGATTACAGGCATGAGCCACCATGCGTGGCCCAAGGAAGACATATAAACGCCCAACAAGCACATGAAAAGAGGCACAACATCTTTAGTCAACAAGGAAATTCAAATTAAAACCACAATGAGATACCACTTCATGCCCACTGGCACAGCTATAATTAAAAAAAAAAAAACAAAAAACAAGTGTTGATGAGGATACGTAGAAATTGTAACTTTCATACACTGCTGGCAGGAACATAAAATGTACCCACCACGGGAAACAGTCTGGCAGCTGCTCAGTATGCTAAACACAGAATTGCAACATGAGCCAGAAATTCTCCACCAGGGCATATACCCAAAGGATTTGAAAACCAGTGTTCAAACAAAAACTTGTACACAAATGTTCACGCTGTCACCATTCGCAACAGCAAAGAGTGGAACAACCCCACGTCTGTCGCCTGACAAATGGATACACGAAGCATGGTACATACACACAATCGGGAAAAGGAACGAAGCACTGGTGCGTGCTACAGCACAGAGGAACATTAAAACACCTCGCTAAGGAAAGTAGCCTGTTACAAAAGGGCACATGTAACGTGACTCCATCTACACGAAATGCCCATAACAGGCAAATCTACAGAGACAGAAAGTAGATGAGTGGCCACCAGGGCTGGAATAACCTGTGTGCCACCACAGACCACCACACACTGGGTGGCAGACAGGTACTTCTCACAGGTCTGGAGGCTGGGAAATCTAAGATCAGCACTGCAGCAGATTCAGTGTCTGGTGAGAGCCATTTCCTGGTTCACAGAGGTGCCTTCCCCCCGGATTCTTACAGAGCTTGGGTGGGCGGGGGGATGAGGGAGCTCTGTGGGGCTTATTTTATAAGGGCACTAATCCCATTCACGAGGCCCCACCCTCATGTCCTGATCACCTCCCAAATCCCCACCTAATACCATCACTTTGGGGGTTTCAAGTATGAATGTGGGGGTGGACACTTTCAGATCATGGTAATAAATCCCTACACCAAAGAATAAAAAATTTAGGTCTATAATAAATCTCTATCAAATAATAAGAAATTTAGGTCTACTAGATTATTTATTTATTTTTGGGACAGAATCTTGCTCTGTCACCGAGGTTGGAGCGTAGTGGCGCCACCTCAGCTCACTGCAATATCTGCCTCCTGGGTTCAAGCAATTCTTGTGTCTCAGCCTCCCAAATAGCTGGGATTACAGGCACACACCACGACACCTAATTTTTGTGTTTTTTGGTAGAGATGGGGTTTTACCATGTTGGCCAGGTTGGTTTTGAACTCCTGACCTCAAGTGATCCACCCACTTCAGCCTCCCAAAGTGCTGGGATTACAGGTGTGAGCCACCATGCCCAGCCTCTACCAGCTTCTTAATAAGTGCTCGACCCAATTACCACCAGGATACTTGTTGTCAGTATTTGAACATGAAACTGTTTCAGTGTGTAAGTTGATAAGAAACCACAAATTATAGTTTAATAAACTAAGCATGTTTACTTACCGCCTCGGGGAGAAGGAGAATTGTGCCCCCCAATGATCACGTGGACCCCGGTATCTTCCAGTTTCACTCTCCACTTTTCAATGATAGCCCCAGACTTGTCCTGAAAGCAGAGCACTGGCAGGTCAGGAACCTTCCCTCAGAGCGGTCACCCATGACCGACCCTGGGCTAAGTCACCCGACAGGAAGTTCACAGATACCTTACTGGCATCGTTGAAAACAGAGAGCTCCATGGTGCCTTCAAAGTCCTGCTGCGAAACAGACCTCAAACATTCGTCCAGCCATGGTTCAGCGTTGTGGACTGGGAGGATGATAGACTGGAATTCAAAAGAGATGGATTAACAGAAAAGTGAAAACTTAATTCCCTGTGATTTACCTCCCTTTCACCATCTGCACATAAGCTGTGACAAAAGGGTCCAGTCCTTCCCTCCAGGCTCATAACATGCTTTCACTGCATAAGACTTAGGACAGCTTAGCGTTCCCTGAACTGGCCTTCCACATGCTTTTGAAAGGGGGAAGAAAACTGAAAGGCATCAAAATTCTTCCCAATTCAATGGTAAATCATGAGTGTTCCAATCACTGACTGGAAACATCGTTTTGGTTGAAACAGGTATCTGGATATCTTCCTACCTACTCACGAAAATAACTGGTTGGTCATTTTCTGGGTGAAACAAGCATTTCAGCAAACCCTGTTAGGGGACCTGCAACAAAGTAACCCCTTTAAGTAACCCCTAACCCACAAAAAACAATGCTGTAACAAAGTATCCGGCAGGAGGTGGTCAGAGAACCAAGCTGAGCAAACAGGAGGCCTGAAGTTCATTTCTCTATTCCTGTGTTCTACCCTTAGCAATACGGCTGGCTTGGCAGTAGCACTGTCTTTTTCTCACGAAGCCCAAAAGAAAAAAAAATTTTTTTTTTTTTTTTTTTTGAGACGGAGTCTCACTCTGTAGCCCAGGCTGGAGTGCAGTGGCACAATCTTGGCTCACTGCAACCTCCACCTCTTGGGTCCCGGTTCAAGCAATTCTCCTGCCTCAGGCTCCGGAGTAGCTGGGATTACAGCCACGCGCCACCGTGCTAATTCTTGTATTTTTAGTAGAGATGGGGTTTCACCATGTTGGCCGGGCTGGCCAAAACAAAATTTCTAAAGTGGTATGGAGTAAAACCAGTGAAACCCAGCACCAACAAAACAGGTGACGGCAGGAGGTTAGTCTTAATTGTATACACGATAATATTAAGTGATATGGAGAGATACTCAGAGACCACAGTCTGTCCTCACCCTTAATTCATATCCAAGAAAGTTGAAATTGTGTTGAAAACACAATTTAGTCAAGTTCTTTACAAAGGAAACCTCACTCTATCCCTTCCTGGACTTATTTTTACAAGAATACAAGAAGTTCCCTAACTTACTCACAAATTTACCTTACTGTGGATTTACTTAAAAGAAATAATTTTTCTCAAGATCTACAAAACATAATGTTTCTGTAAAAGATAGACCTCGATTAATCTGTCCCCATTTTTAGTAAAACTGGAATAAAAAAGATAAGAAAAAAGAAAAAAGACTGGAATATAAAAGAAAACATGCTAAGCCTTTGGGCAACTGCTAATCCCACCCCGCCGTGGTTGTTCACAGAATCGGCCCATTGGTTGGGTCTGAACCCTGACGGCCTCAGCTCAGCCTCTGCCAGCGCACGGGGAAGGTGTTTGGGGCTTGTGGGCAGTTTAGGGCAGGTGTGTGGGGCAACTGTGCCGGACACACAGGCAGGTGTGTGGGCACGGAGCAGGTGTGCAGGCAGGTGTGTGGGCGTGGGGTTGTGTGGGGCACACGGACAGGTGTGCGGGAGGGTGTAGGGTGCAGGGCAGGTGCGCCGGGGCTCGTGCGTGGGATGCGGGGCAGGTGTGCGAGGGCCGGGCAGGTGTGGGGGGGGGCCGGGCAGCTGTGCGGGCTCGGAGAAGAAAGGCAGGGAAGGAACACCGAGGCAAGGCAGGAGTGCCGTCCATCCACCCCGACCAGGTGAGGGCGAGCAGGCAACGGCCTGAGCTCCGGGCCCGGAAGTTTCAAACCCAGAACGCGGAAGGCCGGTGAGGAGGCCCGAGCTGCAGGTCCCGCCCCGCTCGCGGCCGCGGCCTCCAATCCCGGGCGTCCCCCGCACGCGCAGCCGCGCTTGCCCGCGGAGCCGGACCGCTGCTCAGGGCGGAGACCCCGTGGGCGAGCCCGGAGCCGGAGAGGACGCGAGGGCGGGGTGCGGAGCGCGAGGACCCCGCTCCCGGCGGGGCACCTACCACGTGGGCCTGCATGGCCTGGCGCTCCCCGGACGCCCCGCCCACGGCAGCTCCGTGCGGCCTACGGCGCCTGCGCAGGGGGCACCAGGAGGCGGGTCTGAGGCCGGGCAGCCTCCAATTGGTGCAGAGCGGCGTCCATCGGGGTGGGGCCCGGCCGGGGCGTGGCTTCTCGGCGGGGGCGTGGCTTCTCGGCGGGGGCGGGGCCTTGCAGTCGCGGCCTCCGCCTTCCGCCCGGGGCCACACCCCGGTCCCGGGTCACCGCTGCGGCCTCGTCCCGGCCGCGGGAGCCTCTCGCCTTGGCCTGGGGCGCGCGTCATTGTCTCTGGTGCTCCGTAGACGCCGCCGCGGGGTTAGGGTTAGGGACCCCAGCCCGGCGGCCCGGAGGTTGCTGTGAAGCCTCAGGCAGGCTGGTGTGTTTCCCCCGCGCTGTTCACCTCACCCGGGTGGACGAGGGGCGCGCAGGGGGACCTTCCAGACCTTCCCTGTGGGGAGAGCGGGGCGCGCAGGACACGCGACCGCCCCAGGAAGGGGGGCAGTGAGGCCCTGACCCCGCCGGGGTGTCCTCAGGATGGAGGAGGGGTGTCCAGGATGGACCTCCCTGGGCGGGGGGTGCCAGGGGTGAGGCCCGGACTCTACTGTGATGTCCCCCAGGAGGAGGGGTGCCCCGGCTGAGGCCCCGACCCCACTGCGAGGTCCCCCAGGAGGAGGGGCGCCCCGGCTGAGGCCCCGACCCCACTGCGAGGTCCCCCAGGAGGAGGGGTGCTCCGGCTGAGGCCCTGACCCCACTGCGAGGTCCCCCGGGAGGAGGGGTGCCCCGGCTGAGGCCCCGACCCCACTGCGAGGTCCCCCGGGAGGAGGGGTGCCCCGGCTGAGGCCCCGACCCCACTGCGAGGTCCCCCAGGAGGAGGGGTGCCCCGGCTGAGGCCCCGACCCCACTGCGAGGTCCACCAGGAGGAGGGGTGCCCCGGCTGAGGCCCCGACCCCACTGCGAGGTCCCCCGGGAGGAGGGGTGCCCCGGCTGAGGCCCCGACCCCACTGCGAGGTCCCTCAAGAGGAGGGGTGCCCCGGCTGAGGCCCCGACCCCACTGCGAGGTCCCTCAAGAGGAGGGGTGCCCCGGCTGAGGCCCCGACCCCACTGCGAGGTCCCCCAGGAGGAGGGGTGCCCCGGCTGAGGCCCCGACCCCACTGCGAGGTCCCTCAAGAGGAGGGGTGCCCCGGCTGAGACCCTGACCCCACTGTGATGCTCCCGAGAAGCAGTGCCCAGGGTGAAAACATGACCCCAGTGGCTCCGGGTACCCTCCACCTTCACCCTCATTTTCGCCTCCTCATGCAGCCTTGGGAACTGCAGGGCTGGGAACCCAGAGAAGGCAGCCAGGCTCTAGGGGACATTGGAGGTGGTTCCCTGCCAGGAACACAGGCTAGGCCCCTTCTCTCTCTGACCTTGTACTTGAGGAACACAGAGCGGTGTCTCCGGGTTTGATTCCTGAACGCAAGGCCTGTGACCCCAGCAGTTCTGAGCCTGTTGGGGGAAGCGCCTGCCGTCAGGGGTCTCCCAGGCGGCTGCAAGGCCTCTGGAGCCTCCCTGCCTGGAGGAGGTTCACTGGGGACAGGGGTGCTGTGGAGGTCAATTAAAGGGACTGCAGCAATTAGCCCCGTGCTGCCTGCACGCAGAGATTAAGCCCTCTTGGGATTTGTGCCAGCTGATCTGAAGTAATGACTAACTCATAGTTAATGAGCACGGCTGTAAGCATCCCTTCCTGGACAAAGCCTTTGCTGTCCAAAACTAAGATTAAATGCAAATCATTCTATCAATTAACCGTTACAACAAAGCCAAACTTCTGCTAAGCATCACTTCGCATATGATTTTTTTCTTAAATTGCCTCATTATTTGCAAAGCCTGCTTCACAAGTGGAAAGGCTTAAGTCAGATGAGTAAAAATACAGCCTGATTTGCAGTTCAACAAAAGCAATCTGAGAATTTGCTTCCACGGACCTCATGTTCTCCAGAGGTTGGAGTGCTGGGAATCATGTCATTGCGAAGGACTTGGTACAAAGGAGCCCTGTAGCTGCCAGAGTGCACTGTAGCTCATGAGAAGGTGGTCAGGGCCAGAGATCAGGGGTCACACACGGTCTCTGCATACAGCACGTGGCATCCAGAACTGGGCGTGCCTCCCACCTTCCTTCCTGTACATTTCCTGCTGCCAGAAATTCACTTTTCACTCACTTCCCCCTATAGAATCTCCTTTTTGGAAACACGCAGTGCCAAGGTGCATTTCAGAAACGCAAGGCTGCAGGGGTGGGATCCTGAAATCCAAGGGCAGGTGGGCCTGAGAACACTGTCCTCACCATAGGAAGACCCTTGGGGAGAGGCCAGCAGAGGTCTGGACCGAAGGACTGACACCCACCCTGGAGAGGGACAGGAGGGGGGACCGGGGCCTCAGAGCTTGCTGAGCTGAGATCGTGTGGTCTTCATTCAGAGGGAGGTGAGGTGGTGATGACAGATGAACAGTGCCACGTGGGCGCCTGCAGCGGAAGTGCACGAAGCCCTCCACGTCTGTGGGTTTGCGGAGTGGGCAGTTGTATTTCTTTGTTTTGTTTTATTTTTGTAGAGATGGGGTTTTGCTGTTGCCCAGACTGGTCTGCCTCCCAGACTGCTGGGATTACGAGTGAGATCATTGCACATAGCCAGTTTTCTTTACTTTTAATTGTTATTTATGCAAAAGGTTTCGGCGAATACTGGCTATATTCAGAGGACTTGGTACCAACTGCCAGGGGCCTGGAGTAGGTGCGGTGGTCTCAATGTGTGACCCCCCAAACCATATGTTGACACCTGAGAGACTTGAGGGAGCCCCTTTGTTCCTTCCTCCACATAAGGATGCATAGAAGGTGCCATGTTGGGGAATAGGCCCTCACCAAACACCAAAGCTGGGGGCGCCTTGATCCTGGACTGCTCAGCCTCCAGAACTGTGAGCAATAAATTTCTATTGTTTGTGAATTATAAGGTCTAAGGTATTTTGTTATAGCGGCACAAGTGGACCGAGACACCAGGTCTCCAAAGCGAGGAACACCGCAGTCCCTCTCACTGCTGGTGTGGGAGGCAGAGATTCCCTGTGGTCCGCACAAACGTGTTAGCCTTGGGGGACACTGTCCCCAGTAAGAATGACTCCGCTGTGAGTGCAGTTAGTGAAGGCTGAGTTCGAGCTTTAGAGACAAGAGCCAGACGGGTTCCTGCGACAGCCTGCTCTCCAAGACCTCCGTGTGTCCTTTCCAAGTTTCCCGAGGGCACAGAACCAGTGGACCTTCCACAGGCAGCAGGTGCTGCTTGGAGGTCCAGATCGCTGGAGACTGTGGGAGACCACTCTGCACGTGGTGACCACAGCACCCCAATAATAAAGCTGCCAGTGAGGGCAGCCCAGCTGTTCAGGAGGGTGCGCTGAGGTCACCTCTTCTGCTCGTCTCATGTTTTTAAAGGCTGACCATGACTCACCCTGTGGATTTAATGACTCATTAAGGAGTTCCGCCCATGCTTTTTAAAAAAGTAATCTACAAAAAGATAAATTAAAAAGTCGTCTCTAGCACAGTAGGCCAAGCACAAGTTCCATTTTTCAGCAGCACACATTCCTGTTTCAGACCCGTGGGGGTTTCTGATTGACAGGGAAGCCCTGTGGCAGACTCAGGGGAATGATTTGAGCCAGGGCGGGTGTCCCAGGCTGGAGCTCATGGGCTACGAGTTGGTCCTGCAAAAGGAAAGTCAGGCCTGCAAACTGCAGAGCCTGGACACAGAGGCTGAGGCGATGGTGTGCTGCCGATCCCTGAAATCCTGTCACGTGTCAGAGGGAAGGGACAGCCCCATACGGCCCCTTGAAGGGACCAAGGCCCGACCCAGTGCCTTGCCAAGGCGATCAGTGCTGGCTCCAGCAATCTGCACCATCAGGCACTCCGCAGCGAGGAGATCTGACTGGCCTAGCACTTCCTAACTTCCAAGCACTGCAAACAGCATCTCATTAAAGCCCCTGCTCCACGACTGACCTGAAACCTGGGCCTGCAGGAGGGGATGAGGTTCCCGTCACAAGATGCGTTCTGTGATCAGCGGGGCAGGTGTTTGCTGTGGATTCTAGATGAGCAGAAAGAACCACAGAGAACGTTTGCCTTGAGTCCCCTGCCCGCCCCAGCCCAGAATGCAGAGGCTGAGTCAGGGGCTACACATGGAGTGTTTCATGCCCAGGAGGCTGGGGCAGGGGCCCGAGAGGAGGTGGGAGGCGGCCGGGACCAGCGAACTCTGCTGAGGGTCCACGTCGAGGGCTGGACCCTGGACCTCCACGAGCCTGGAGAATCCTCCACCTGAGGGGCCTCTGCTTGTTGTCAGCTGGGGCTGCCCACATGACCTCTTGCTCCCCCCACACCTCGCTGGGCCGGGAATACAAAGCCCAACTGCTGTTCCCAGGTCCATTTCTCAGGGATGTGTGCACGGTGACCACTGCCTCCTCTGGGACAGGGAGCTGGCATGCTTTCTGCCTGTTGTTCAGCAGTGGGTTCCCAGAGCCGAGGGCCCCTCCTGTGGGCAGCCCCTCACGTGGGCAGCATCCATCCAAGCCCTGCACATCACTGCTGGGGAAGGGGCCTGGGAACCCACTCAAATGTGCTGGTGCTCCGGCTCTGCTTTTGCCGTGAGTGTTAACATCCCCTGCCTCTGACCCCAGCAGTCTGGTGTCCCCTGCCAGCACCCACGGAATAAGCAGGTCAGCTTGTTAGCCTGAGAGTAAAATCTCAGGCCCCTGCACGGCTCAGATGGCATCCAGCACATGGTTGGGGCTGGGCCCTGCCCTCACGACTGCCAGGGACCGGGTACCCCGACCAACTCCTAACTCCCAGCACCTGGCTCTGGGCCCATCTTGCCCGAGTGGTCCTAGGCTAGGAAAGGCAACGAGACAGCCCCGGTTTGAAGCCCCAACACTGCATGGACGCACTTCACTCTCCCGGCCTGTGGCCATCCCGGCACCCTGCCTGTCTCGTTTGCAGGAGGTCCTTCTGCTAAGTGGTCCCCAGCACT